TCTCTCGCCGCCTCGCTCGCGCGCTCTCTCTCTCTCTCTCTCTCTCTCTCTCTCTCTCTCTCTCTCTCTGTGTGTGTGTGTGTGTGTGTGTGTGTGTGTGTGTGTGTGTGTTTTGTACAATTCAGCATGATCCTAATTAGCTCGTTGTGTAGCCTGTGCAGACAGTTATCTCACACCCAAATGGAGCTCTGGGTGGTGTTACCTGAGGTGACAACCCTGTGACATATTAGGTAGGGTTTGATGTTAAAAAGAAGGGTGGAGAAAACCCCTCCTCTATTTTCATCTTTCTTTTTTTAAAAAAAATATTTCCCTAAGTGACATGGGGAAATTCTACTACTGTGCTAGGTAGATGCATTGCTCTCATCACTTACTTTAATTAACAACAACAAAAAGAAAGCCACTGCAATCCGTGATTTCTGTGAGAAAAGGCAGGGGGGAGGGAGCTATGGGAACTCCAAGGGCTACACCCCACTAAGCAGCACAACCCCTACAGACCATGGCCTGAGGGGAAAGGTGGGGAAAGAGAGAGTTTCCTCCCTTCCGTCTCCCAAACCTTCACCCCAACGTTTTTCCCTTGTTGCCAGGACCACTGCCATGAGCTTGCCCTGCCGTCCTCTGCTGATGCCTCCTTACTCACAAATAAACTGGGTAACGTTACGTGCAAACAAACCAGTGATCCAAAGATTTGGGTGGACCTTCCTTACAGGAGAATAAACATCTCCAGTACTAACAGAAGTATAATCAAGTGAGAGAGAAAATAGATTGCACTAAAGATAAGAACTTTTTAAGTCCAAACCAGAACGCTCCAAAATCCCCTGTCTGGACAGGTCTACCCTACGGTTAGCTAGAAGTATGATTTCTATCACCTTTCCTATCCCAAGTGGCTTCCTCTAATAAAAACAAGCTCTCTTATTCTCATAGAAAGAAATATGGGCAAAGGGGAAAGTGTGTTCCAGTAATCACAAAGGACTTAATCCAGAAGTTAACATTGCTTCTGTAACTCTGCACACTCTCCAACAGCCCTCATTCCAATATCATGTACAGAATGGAAGGGCACAGAAACACAGGATTGAGATGAACTGCCTGGACTAGTGGTTGTTGTGGGTTTTCCAGGCTTTTAAGCAATCCATAACATAGCCACCGTTACCATAAATAATCAAACCATAATTGATTTCTTTTTTTAAATAGCAGTAAGAGTAATGATACCAAAGAATTGGAAAGTAAGTATGATTTTCAGTTATTTGAATGGTGCAATGAGGTTTGGAATGTAGCTTTTAATGATAAATTTACATACTATATTAAAATTAAAAAGGGTTGTTAAATAATAATTTCAATAAGATGTGGATATTTTATAAAATAAATAAAGAATTAATGTTTCACAAGAAACATTGCAATTTTGGAAAGAACATTCTTTTTACACCAGTCTCTTACAATCTCTGAAATATATATATGATACAGTGAGCTCCATCTAGTGTTACGTTAAGGAATATAGAAAATATACACAACCGTATGGCTCATGAATAAAAACAAAAATGAGGTTTGGATTATACCAGCTCATAACAAAATGGCAAGTCCTCAAGTCCTCTTCATCAGGCTGAGCACTGCACAATCTGAGGTGGGTATTGAAGTAGAAAATCCCAAAATCATCTTGGCTGAATTTTAAAGCCAGGTAAAAATGGAGCCTGCAGACTTTAAGAGTGAGTTTCCTCAGGATGGAAGATGATGGGAATGGCAGATGCAACAACATCTGTTCCATGTAATATCTTTCCAAGCTCTGTGAGATCCTTTATAATAGACATTCCAAATAATAGATTTGAGATCTTTTATATGCAAAGCATGTGCTCTGCCAATAAATTATGGCTTCTCTCTCATCTAATGTGAAAGGCACTGGGTAACACAGAGAAAGGCAAACCTTCCACCCTGACCCCCATTCACTTTGGTTGCTGAGAAACAGTGCTCTTCTATCAGAGTCCCATTGGCCAACAAGGAATTTAGACCTAACAGAACATGCACAGGAGTAGAATTCCTGGGAGAAGCAGCATAGGGTGGCCATGGAGAATGACAAGGTAGATGCTTGTTGGTTGTTGTAGTTTTGTTGGGCCATTTGGCCATGTTCTGGAGGTTTTTCTTTCTAATGTTTTGCCAGTCTCTGTGGCTGGCATCTTCAGCGGACAGCAGTTAGAACTCTGTCTGTGTTCTGGTGTAGTGTTTGGGATAGTTGAGTATGTGTAGCTGTGGGATCAGCTTTTGTCCTTTTCAGAAGATTGGGTGATTAGATGCTTTTTTCTTAGCTTTTCCCCCCCTTATTCCATAAGTGAGAATTGATTTGATGGTCCATGTTTATTTATTATTATTTCTTCCTATGTCAAATGGGTGTTCTTTCAGTTCTAAAATTTCACTGCTATTTCCTAGCAATGAGCCATGACCATTATTTTCTCTTTGCAGTTCCCTGAAGGATGCAGGAGAGATCTGGCTCAATGCATATAATCATGGATAAGAAGAATATGCTCCACCTACCCACCCAAGCTGTCACAGTTGGAAGTGTCTGGGTGCAACTCAGCTTACACTCAAGAAGATTTGTGTCTTTGTATGGGGACGAATAAAAACGGATAACCTCCTCAGGTTTCCTAGACTGCTCATAGCGGATATGACCTTCCTTCAAACTTAGGTTGCCGTTCTTAGAGTTGCTGACATCACTTCCTTCCTTCTCATACCTATATCTTGTTCCTCCAAGTGGGAAACCTCTTGTCTTTTATTGTCTAGAGGTGAAAGGGACAGCCATGACTCCTGACATCACCAATTTAGGGCCTGTCTAGACAGGTATAGAGATCGATATATCGATCATTGTTGCTGTGGTTTGGTTCAAACCCGATGACAGTGTCCAGACATGTTTCTACTTGAATCAACCTATCCTGCCCTTCCAAGCCCTGTCCCATTCTTTTCTGGCACCGCGAAAGGGCATGCTCTCTCTCTCTCTCTCTCTCTCTCTCTCTCTCTCTCTCTCTCTGTCTGTGTGTGTG